GAGAGAGAGAGAGAGAGAGAGAGAGAGAGAAGCGTCTGCGGCGGTGAGCAGTCTACCGACAAGCCGAATGACCGCCGAGATAAACGTCAATTTGTCATCGATGGAGGCTAGATGACGATTTGCGATTTTGAGGGCAGAGCAGGGTAGGGTTTTTTTTTGTCATATGTTTATCTAACTTATGATTTTAACGATTACACGTATAACATTAAATTTTTACTTTTTAGATGTACACACTAGATTTACAGAAAGACTAAAAGATGACAGTAAGCACAAAAGGAATATAACCCTTTACGCTGCGCCGCTTTATGCGAATCACACACAGGTTCTCCTTCGCTCTGCGGCTCCGAGCTAATCTTTGCGTAAAAACCCTTCTTAATTTCAGCGGGGTCTCTATAATTGTGTTAGAAATTTAGCTTTTCGCAACCCCTTATTTATTTTTTCGGACTGAGAAATGGCGATGAGGGTTGCTTTGAAATTCGGGAAAGAGTGCTGTATGCATAGGAATAAGGTTAAATTCAACGATTATTTCAGGCATTGCTTCTGCACTACTGCTTCAGTTGGCGCCGCTAGCACTCCATCCAAAATTCCCAAAAAAGTTCCTCATTTTTCGAAGAAGGTAATCTACTACTTCTGTTTTATGTTTTGGTATGATATATTACATTGTAAACGCTTTGTGCGTGCGGAAGACTTGTAATTGCCTTTTGCTTGTGTAAGCATGCGAAGTTCTTGGGGAATCTGAAAATGGTTTATGATGGAAGTGAATACTTGAGCCTACTTTTTTCCCAAGAAACGAGATGTATTAAGCTTTGATACCGTGGTCTCTGATTGCAAGGCATTTCGCCTCATGAAAAAGACTGTCTTTTTCCTTCTATTATTAGACCACTATTTGAGCTTTGTTTTACGTTCTTTTGTGTGTGTGTGTGTGTGTGTGTGTTCGGTTGCCGACTTGCCGTATTGCTTTTCTACTTTAGTTCTTCACCAAGGAAAGCTTTGAACTATTGAACTTGGGTTTGTTCTGTTCTGAATTTTTAATATTTGTCTGGTCAATTAAAATCTTGCATAAGGGTAAATGCAAACGACTGAGTGAACTGCTATGTACTTTATCTTTTTCTTGAGAATGCTTAGATTCCACATTTGCACTCCAGGGTAGATTATTTACTGGAGCTGCTATAGGGCTACTCATAGGTGGAGGTGCATATGCAAGTACTGTAGATGAAGCGACTTTCTGGTATGCAATGGATTCTCATGTTTGTAATTGTTTCATCTTCATCATTAACATCATCATCATTGTTGTTGTTCTTAGTTTTCTCGTGAAATGCAACTTTCGTTTGTATTGCTTGAGTGGGAAAGAGATTGGATACTGTTGAAGCTTGAAGCTGGTTTCTGAAGTACTATGAGCTTGAGATGGCACCCATTTACTTTTATGTTCGCAATTTTCACAAGTTAGTTTGAAAATTGGATGTCTTATCCGAGCATGTTATCCTTATTTTGTGCAAGTTTTCACCCCCGAATACAGATGAGATTTATTCTACTTTCATATAATCTTTTATTGTAGTTGCATATGTGTGGCTATTCACAAGCTTGAAACTAGTTCAACTCAAGACCATTCTCTATCACTCACCTATGCATGGCCTCAAACTAGATTTCGACCTTAAACATTCGATTGTGTTAATATTCATATGTGGGTATGTTTCCAATCAATTAAGGTAGACCTTCAATGTGATTTCATTTGAATTCAAATTCTAAAATTATGATTAGAACATTTCTTAATGCATATAAGTTACCATCAAGCCTTCAAGAGTCGCTTTCAAATAATTACACGATCAAATCTTTGCAAGGCCTTTAATAGCATCTGCAATGTAGTATTGACATATCTCTGAGTAATTGCAGTGGCTGGCTATTCTCTGCAACAAAACTAGTGAATCCTTTGTTTGCATTTCTCGACCCAGAGGTGGCCCACCGACTGGCAGTATCTGCTGCAGCCCGTGGGTGGGTCCCGATTGAGAAAAGGGCCGACCCGCAAATATTGGAACTCAAAGTTTGGGGAAGGAGGTTTTCCAATCCAATTGGTCTTTCTGCTGGTTTCGACAAAAATGCTGAGGCTGTCGAAGGCTTGCTTGGGTTAGGTTTTGGTTTTGTGGAGGTTGGGTCAGTCACTCCAGTTCCGCAGGAGGGCAATCCAAAGCCTCGTATATTTAGATTGAGAAAGGAAGGGTAAGATTGTAAGTTTTTTTGGTTGATCTTCCTTATCTAAAAAGAATAATTTAGCGCTTATATGTATTATCCTTGGTATGTGTTGCCGTGACTCTAGGAGGTGTTTGAAGAGCTGATGAGCTTGCTTCTAGTGTTGGGTAATTTATATCTCTAGGATTTCTGGTTGAACTTATTTATAAGATTTTATAAGCTCATAAATATGTAAGATGTTTTTAAAAACTTTAATAAAAAATTATACTGGGGCTTATAAGATGATAGTAATGGTAACTTTGCAGGTACGATGTTGAAATTTTAAATTTTAATGGAAGCTGTTCAAATAATATCTCTCTTTAGTAAAAGAAAAAAGGTTGGCGTACACCACCTTCTTGGAAAACAATTTACTAGCTCCTAATATATCTTTGTAGTTTGGTAAACAGATTAAAAGATCTTTTAAGCGCGTAAACATCTTAGAGCACGTTTGGAAGAGTCCATGAGCTCAGCCAAACACCATAGGGTATCTTGTAAATTGTTTTTAAAAAAATTTGGGCTGCTGCTTGTTTTTTTTTGTCCTTCAACTCATACTATTTGCGTTCAAAATTTCCATTATTACCATTTTGGAAGTTCCATGTCATACATTATCAAACAACTTATTTTCAAATTTATCAAATGTTGAAGCTTAGAACAGCTTTCAGAAAGCTTCCTAGCCAAAAACCCTCGTACATTCAATAAGTGCCTTTTTTATTCTAACTGGTCATTACATTTGATATTTCAGTGCCATCATCAATAGATGTGGCTTCAATAGCGAAGGGATTGTTGCTGTAGCTAAGCGGTTGGGCGCCCAACATGGTAAAAGGAAGATGGAAACATCGAGCAGCTCATCTTTCACTGAAGAGGAGGTCATACATGGAGGGAAAGCAGGTCCTGGTATTCTTGGGGTTAATCTAGGAAAAAATAAGACAAGCGAGGATGCTGCAGCTGATTATGTGCAAGGAGTTCACACTTTGTCACAGTATGCCGATTACTTGGTATACTATTTATCTTTTTCGCATATGGTTATACTCTCCAGCATATTGCAAATCTTATGATCTGTTTTGTATTGATTTTGTTGATTTAATATGCACCGAGTATGATCTGCATTGTAAGTGGTTCTAACTTCTAAATATTTATTAGGTGAATTTACTTTTTCCTGTTAAGATGTGAAATTGATTTTTTTTTTTTTTTAAATTTAACTTATGGTTTATATATGTCTGATTCTGTAGGTTATCAATATTTCATCCCCCAACACTCCGGGACTGCGGCAACTTCAGGGTAGAAAACAATTAAAAGACATTGTGAAAAAGGTAATGGTCTTGTTTCNNNNTTTTTTTTTTTTTTTGTTCTCATAGTCAACCAATGAATGTTTGGATGGTATGGACATTTACGAAGGATTGATAGAATTTTGATTCTATAATTTCGGTAGGTTCAAGCTGCTCGTGATGAAATGCAATGGGGGGAGGAAGGCCCACCACCTTTGCTTGTGAAAATTGCTCCAGACTTGTCTAAACAGGATCTCGAAGATATTGCGGCAGTATGCACATATAACTTCTCTCTTTCCTTTTTAATCGTATTTTCGCATATTATTTCTACTGCCGCTACTGTTTATTTATTTATTTTTATTACCAAGTTTTCCTGTCTGGAATGCATTGAATGACGTGCTCTCTGCATATGTAGGTCGCTCTTGCTCTTCGAGTAGATGGATTGGTAAGCTTTTCCTTTTCTTTATAGTTCCTTAACCATTTTCCCCAAGCCTTATGATCTTCATGCCCATTATCTTATTCCTCACTGGCTTCCTACATAAACTCAGTAAGAAGCTATCTTCAACACAGAGTTAAGTGAGCTAATTTCTTGAAAGAGCATGGCTAGCTTAGTGAGATATCATATGACACTCCTCTGCTGGAGGGAGTAATATTAATATATGCAACTTAATTTCCAGTATATTTTTGACGCCAGGAAAAAGCGTATTTTGTTCATTATCCACTTAGATCACTATGACGCGTGGTTGAGGTCATCACACATGTGATGTTATCTTAATTTGAACAGCAGTTTTCTCTTTAACTATACCACTTAAAAGTTTCAATTATCAACTTTGGGAGATGATTGTGAGATAGAAGCCATTGTTCGGAAAAAAAAATTAATTTTATGTTTGCAGATCATATCAAACACAACTATTCAGAGACCAGATGCCGTAAGCCAAAATCCAGTGGCTGAGGAAACTGGAGGCTTGAGTGGAAAACCACTCTTTAACTTGTCCACAAATATACTCAAGGACATGTATAGTCTTACAAAGGTGATTTGGTTCTAGTGTACTTCATTTCCACGGCTTTGAATATTGTTGTTGTTGTGTTGCTGTTAGGCGAATCATCTGCAAGAGTTCAGTTCCTATTTCTGTTCTGTATACACCCAACAGTTATCTAAGCACTACCCAAATTAAATCTGATTAAAAATTGTGTCACACCTTTAGTGCATTTGATTGAAATTTGACTTGTGTCTCTTAACAGGGAAGAATTCCTTTGATTGGATGTGGAGGTGTGAGCAGGTAACTTTTGTTTAGTGTGTGTGTTCAACCATTATTATGTCATAGCTTTTCAGTGAACTTACCCCCATCATGACTGTTCAGTGGGGAGGACGCGTACAAGAAAATACGAGCAGGGGCAATTCTTGTTCAGTTATATACTGCTTTTGCTTATGGAGGACCTGCCCTTATACCTCAGATAAAGGTAGAAAGAATACTCCTTCGAGAAGGGAAAAAAAAATAAAAACGTTAGTCGAGTGCCTGTAGTTGGAAGAGTGGCATAAAAAAGTTAACATTATAGAGTAGTTGTGGTGAGCCTAAATTGCGGTTTTAGTAATGTAGTGCAGTAATCACATGAAAAGGAAAAAAAAAAAAGGAATTCGAGGAGAAATGGCACCTCATATGGTGACTTTAAAATGTCATGTGATATTTGAAAGCATCTGAAAAAGATGGATTTGCGATTCTTGCAGGACTATTGTGGTCAACCCTCTAGTGCTGCTGGAATTAGAATCCATAATAGCTGTTGTGCTAGAAACTTGGTTCTGGTAAACAGAAGTCAAATATTTCCCGATTAACAAAATAAAACAGTGTTTAGATACATTTGATAAATGCACTAATCTCTAAACGGATGGATAAATTACCTGACATTGCATTTTGTAACATGCTTTTTGTTTGTAGCAAGTCGTTTGATTTTGTATGTAGAATGTGACTTTAACTTCATCATATGATCGTTTACAATTTGATATTACATGTACTAGTTTTACCATTTTTCTCAAGGCACCTTTTCTTGATTTTTTCTTAGAATGAACTCGCCGAATGCTTAGAGAGAGACGGTTTCAAGTCTATTTATGAAGCAGTTGGAGCCGATTGCCGATGATACAACTGCCCGATTCCGGTGCAGATTTTTACATTACACACGTTATTTTGCAGCCTTTTCCCATGTACAGCTAGTTTAGGACCCCGGACGCCCTAGATGCAGAGTTTTGATGGGTAAATTTTTTCTCCATAAGATTGTGTATTGTTGACTTGGCAAAATAGCTTCTTTTTGCTTGTTCCCCAATTTTGATGAGCCATAAGAAAACATGTTTTGGCATGTAAGTGGAAAATTTGACCAGTCTAATACTTGATGCTATGAATTTGGAAGCCTTGAATTATTCTTTGATGTCGATGTATGAGTTTATTTGCTTAATTTATTGGTCTGCAATTTGGGCAAATGTCTTTGTCACAAATTGCAACAGCAGACGACTCATCACGTGGTATTTCACCGTCATTCATGCAGTCAATAGTGGAGAATGGTTTGTAAATGGGGAAAAAATCATACTTGTACGTCAACTTCCTTTTTTTTTTTTAGATCTATGCAGGGGTGAGCAAAAATTCGAACCAAAGTGTCGGGCCGAATCGTGCAATTCGGTGCGGTGCAGTTTTGCATTGAATTGAAACAAATTGAATAAATGTATAGAAAAATCAAGATAAAATTGAAAATCGAGTCGAATCGTGCATTTTTGTGCGGTTTGGTTCGGTTATTTTAGTGTAAGAAAATTTCGGTTTAGGTTTTTTCAAGTTGTCGTGTGGTTCGGTTATTAATTTTTTTTTTCTAGGTTCGGTTTCCGATTTTTTGCGATTCAGTGCGATTTTTTACCAAATCGCACCGTTGTTCACCCTTAGATCTATGTTTCAATTTAATTAATTTTGATATTTATTATTTCCATCTGTTTATCAATTTTTGTCCAAATTGTAATTTTTCTAATAAAAACTAATTTCCAATCACGTCTTTACATTAAAATTATTAATTATTACAAAGTGTAATTAAATGTTAAAAAGTTTTTGTTGGTGATTGATATATTGCCCGCAAATTTCCATATTTCATGGCTGTGAAAGCAACTTCGAAAACCAATCGACTACTTGTCATAGACCAATTGGGAGGAGCTATTGGCAGTGAAGATTTCATTAAGGGTGGTGACGGAAAAGGCGAGATCTTTACGGTGGAGGGGAACAAAGGCGAGACCTCGGCGGTGATGGCCGGAGAAGACGAGGGTGTCGGGAATGTTGGGGAGAGTTTGGGAAATGACCGGGTTTCAGAGGGATAGGGTTAGTTAAGGATGGGTTATGTTGGGCCGATGTTATGTTAGATCTTTTATTTAGCATATTGGGCTTTAGTTATTGTTTAGGCCAAACTACTTACTTTTGGGCCAAGCTTATTTTATCTTGTTTAAGGGTGTTTTTGAAATTAATTAGAAAGAGACTCACACTATGTAAGCAATCGGATCATTGAGAGAAATGTCAGAAAAAGTTGTTACAATTTCCTCTCCTTTCTCTCTATTCTCTCTCTACAATCTGTTCTCTCTCTATTTCTATATTCTTCCCCAATTCACTAACCTTAAATATATGAAAAATCCAAAAAAATATAAAATTACAGAAAATCCCCAAAGGCTGCTACAATTGGTATCTAAAGCACAGTGTTCCTCGGCATGGCAGAAAACACTCGCCTCAAGGAGCTGCAAGAAATAAAAAAAGGTTAGATCAAATCATTCAAACGGAAACTATGAAAAGGGAATCGATCGAGCTCAGATTACAAGAGAAAATGGCCGGACTTACAGAAAATTTGTAGGAGAAGCTTTCTGGGGTAAGTATGGAACTGCAGGACAAAATAGGTCACCTAGATAACAAGTATGACAATATGGCAAATGTGCTGGCCGCAATTCAGCTGCAACTGTTGAATATGAGCAAAGGCAAAACACCAGGTGAGGAAGAATCCATTCTGGGTACCCTAAATCAGCAATTTACAAATTCCAATTTTCAGTCCAAGCAACACACATTCACCAGAAACCCATTGCAAATAGAACAGCCTGCACAGAATCAATTCATAAGTCCTATGCCTAAAGTAGACTTTCTCAAGTTTGATGGGACATCGTAGAAGTTGGATTCTAAAATGCAATGGATACTTCAAAATCATACCAAACATCCCAGATTCACAAAAAAATATCTTGGCATCCATGCACTTTGAAGGAAGGGCAACTCAGTGGTATCACACTTTCAGCCTCAAGTATGAGGGGTGCACTTGGGCACAGTTCCTGGAAATTGTGTCTTCTAGGTTTGAAGAAATCAAAGAGTCTAAAATCATAGGGGAATTCAACAAGCTTAAACATACTGGGTCATATGAAGAGTATGTTGACAAGTTTGAAGAGCTGAAATCTTGTATGATGTTGTTTAAGGGAGGAGAGTTTTCTGAGGAATATTTTATTGCTAGTTTCTTGAGTGGTTTAAGTGAAGAGTTACAAGCTTTTGTCAACATGTTTGAACCAAGAACCTTACAACAAGCTGTTGACTTGGGAAGGAAACAACTGTGCATTATGGAAGCCATTGTTAAGAGGGCCAAAAAAACAACTAGGTTTACTCCATCATATGCAAGCTCAACTAAAAAAGCAGATTTCAATGGGGGATCAAAATCACCTTATCAAGGGAAAACCTACAAACCACCCGCAAAAATGCTTACTGCTGCTGAGATGGCTGCAAGAAGAGAAAGGGGCCTTTGTTATAATTGTGATGAGAAGTATGTGGTTGGGCATAGGTGCAAAAGCAGGATAAACTACATGATTATGAAAGAGGAGGAAGAGATATCAAGCATGGAATGAGATGAACTAGAGGGTGAAACCTATGAGGAAGGAAAGGATATGGAAGGGATACAAATGACCCTCAATACCTTGGCAGGAAAAGGTGGGCTCACAACCATGAGGCTGTATGGAGAACGTGAGGGACACATGTTGCTTATTCTGATTGACTCAGGTAGTACCGTAAGTTTCATACAAGAGGATACATTCAAAAATCTGAATTGCAAATTAGTCACAACAAAGCCTGTTATGGTTAGAGTTGCTAATGGGCAGAAAATGATCAGTACACATACAGTGGATAAGTTCACCTGGAAAATGCAAGGCCACAGTTTCACCTACAACCTTAGGATCTTACAAAATGTGGGGTGTGATATGATCTTAGGAGGTGATTGGCATAAGTCCTGTACTCCAATTGAGTTGGACTATGAAAAAATTGACTTTTATAGTCAATATGCAAGGGAAAAGGGTTAAGATTCAAGGTGTTTGTCCCGTTTTTGTTGCTATTATCGTTGCTATTTTGTGTGTCGTTTCCCCTGTTTTAGGTCTTTTCCTAGGTACTTTTGGTCCATTTAGTCGTTTCATGTGTTTTTTATCTTTATTATGCCGTGTTTAGTATTTTCTTTGTTTTTCCTCCTATTTTCTTGGTTTTCGTGTTTTTCCGGTTGTGGTGGTTTCAGGTTCAGATGATGATAGCGGTATTCAGGTCCGGCTCCTAGGAGTTATACATTGGTTTGAGTTTATTGCTCGGGTAGTACCCGAGAAATGCGAGACGAGAGCTCACGAGTTCAAAAACTTGGAAATTTTGAAAGCTGCCCAGGCCATAGCGTCGCTATGGCCATAGCGGCGCTATGGCCAACCAT